AAGAAATGAAAATAACCACTCCATTTAAAACTGGTTGTTGTTTTGTTTCTGGTTCATTTCTCCCAATGGCACAACATGGACAAAGCCTTCATTGTGGATCAAAATCTTCTGAACAATTCATCCTGGTGACTAACCATGAGATGGGGCTTCCTGCATTGCTCTCTCCACACCGAAATGTCAGACCCGGTTCCTGTATGAATGAGTCCGGATGACGGCTGCATTGGGCCCTGGCTTCTGACTGCCATGAACAGAAATGTTTTTGCCCTCCCTGCCCCTCCCAGGCTCTCCTAGTTTCAGAACAGCAGCACATGGGGATCAGCTGGTATCAAGAAAAACACACTCTGCTCATGTTCAGGAGAGTGGCTGCTTTCTTCTCTGTGACCACTTCAGATTTCAGGGATCTGCAGTCTTGTTGAAACCCAGCTCAATGAAAAAGGGAAGAGTGGAAAAGATAAAGAGGAGGAAACCAATAAGGACTTGCTTGCTCTCAGAAACATGACATCGCCTGGCACAATGTGCTTTTAACTTGGCTGCTGTTCATCAGAGCAGAGTGATGGGATCAAACCAGAAATTCTGCCTAATCCAGGATCTTGTTGCTAACCCTGGCAGTGTCTCGTACTATGCCCAACCAGATGCCTCTTGGGAAGCTAACAAGCAGGAGGCAGAGAATAGTCACTTATTATGTCTTAATAATAATTATTGGACATAACTGTGAGAAGTACCCCGTGCTGCTTGAGGCCAAGCAACAATTTCCCCTTCTCCACTTCAAAGCACCTAATACCCAAGGCCATTTGAGCACCTGAGACTGAAAAATCCCATAAATATGCTTCTTCCTACTGTGAAAAAAACCAAGACAAGCAATGCTAAAATAAATAGCCCTTTGCTGCCTGATAGTGAAAGTCTGCTGAGCGAAGGCAGGCAAAGGTAGACTTTTTCAATACATGGAGGCTCCATTTCACTAACACAAGAGTTTTCAAAGGCCCCCTTGGACTGGCTCCACGGTTGGCCTAATTCAGTACTGTATTCACTTGCAAACAGTGGGGAGCCCACCGAAGGCAGGAAATCCACAAGCAGGGATGGAAAGAATCAGCCCTGCCCAGTGCTTATCCCTGGAGGTAGACTTCCTCTGGTCATGCAGTTTCCATTTAACCAGGTGGAGACAAACCTGTTTTTCTGAAAATTGTTAGGAAACTCCAGAGGTTTCAGCAGCTCAGGCGTGGGCTTGAAGCCAAAACCAAACACAGGCAGACAAACAAACCAAACGTTACTTCCTAAGCCAAGGGAACCATGAATTAAACAAAGGCAAAATGGCTGTTCTTGAAGTGGCTGATGGAGGGGATATTTCACTAAGAGTGAGCAGGGTCACCTTGCCATCTGTCTGGCACCCAACTTTCTTGCTCTTGGCTGTCTGTGGCTCGGCGTGTGGTGGGAATCCAGCTGCGGTCCCCTGTTGTATAAAGCAGGCCATCGTGCTAACGCCCATATTCACACCACACACTTAGCCAACTTTTTTCTGGGTTCACACAACCCCTAAAATAACCAAATCAGCTGCTAGGTTTGTTCAGCACGCAAGCCTTCGAAAGAAAACTAGGCAAGCTATCTAACCAAGTTAACTATATTGTGAATACACAGGTTTTCTTAACTAAACTGATTAAGGCAGTGTTTCTGAACCTTGGCAACTTTAAGATGTGTGGACTTCAACTCCCAGAATTCCCCAG